AAACCGGGTGGCTCCTTGGAGGCAAGGATTCTGAGGCTCCGTCTAACATACTTTGGACATGTTGTGAGGAGAGACCGGTCCTTGGAGAAGGACATCGTGCTTGGGAGGGTGGAGGGACATCGCAGGAGGGTAAGGCCCTCTATGAGGTGGATTGATTCAGTGCTTGGGATAATCGGAATGGGAGTGTCAGAGACAGTGCCATTGGCACAGGACAGAGCAGGGTTTAGGGCTGTTGTACATACGGTCGCTATGAGTCGCAAGCGACTCGAGGGCACATAATAATAACAACAACAACAACAACCGTCAAATCATATCCGACTGGTACAGGAGGAGATTGTCCCTCCTTTTCCAGCAGAGCATCTGGTGGATTTGAACTGTGCACCACTGGGATTGCAGTGTGGCTTCCTGCCACTAGGCCACCAGAGCTCCCTAGTTTTCTCTTTTCTAATGATCAGGTTACCTTGTCTTTTAGGGAGTTTCACAGCCAACCAAATGGCAGCTTGAATCCACCAGTGGCTAAATAGTAACCATTGGGTATTCACTATAGGGTAGTAATCTTAGCTTTGTTCATTTGCATTTAAAGTACATCATCCATTTTATATTTGGAAATTAAAAGGAAGAAAATTACCATGATTGTTTCACAAAATACAGTAGACAAGGAACTGTCATTATTTGTAGTAGAATAAATATGTAGGATCTTGCCTTGAGACCCATTTATTTCCTTAGTGCTGCTTGACTCTCTTTTTGTATTATGAATATTTGGGCATATGTCTGTCTTTCTAACTATGCTTTGAGTTTCTCGAGGACAAGTATCATGTCTTAATTATCTTTGACTCCTTAGTGCCTGTTGTATAGCAGACAAGTGAGAAATGTTCCATAAGTGCGGTGTTTGTGGAGTTGTACCTAGCTTCATGAGTAGTACAAAGCAAGCTCTATTTTTCTATTTTGTAATTAAAAGAGCCTCAAAGAGTCCCCTCCAGTATTAAAATGGGATCTTCATACAATCCTTTCAGTACATAATTTTAGACAGTAATTAGGGAGCTAAAATGGGTTAGTGGTAAAGAGAGTTGTACTGCCAACAGAAAGGTTGGTGATTAAAATCCACCAGCTGTTCCATGGGACAAAAGTGGTCAGTCTCTCCCATGCACTTTACTGCATCTGTAAACTAACTGGAGGGTCAGCTAAGAGGCGGTTACACCACAGTGATATAGAGTAATGTAATAAGTGATAGGAATGATGACTATATCATGAACTGCCAAGAGATCAAACCTATGTTGGAAAACGTACAACCACAATGCTCCTTAGAGGCAAGAATGATGAAACTTCATCTCACTTACTTTGGACATGTTGTCAGAAGTCTCTGGAAAAGGACATCTTATTTGGAAAGATGGAGTGTCAAGAGAGAGACAGACCCTCAATAAGAGGGGTTGACTCAGTGACTACATCAGTGAAAGAATGGTGCAGGATTGAGCAAGGTTTGGATAGACATAGGCTCTATGAATTAGTCTACTCCCTGGCACCAAATAGCAACAACCAAAATATAATGAGATGCACTACATGTTTTTGCGAGATACAAATAGTTTTCAGTAAATAAAAAGACTTTACTCAAGGGAGCTCTGGTGACCTAGTGGTAAGAAGCTGCGCTGCAATCCCAAAGGCTCACATTTTGATTCCATCAGTGTTCTGCTGGAAAAAGGAGCAATCTACTCCTGTGCCAGTAGGATCCGATTTGATGGTATACAAGAAAAAAAAGGACAAAAAAAAGATTTTACTCTTTATATTATAAAATAAAAATGCAGAATATTGTAGAGCCCACTATTTGCAATTAGTGTAAAGTGAGAGAAGAATTGTACGTGGTCCCAGTGTTAGAGTTATGTAAATTACCTGTGTGTGTGTGTGTGTGTGTATATATATATATATATATATATGTTGATATGTTTATTTTGTAATTCTTTAATGAATGCCTAGAAACAAGGATGGTAAGACTGTGACCTCACATATTTTGGGCATAGTAAGAATGTTGAGAAAGCTATTGTGCTTGATAAAGAACTAAGAAAATGGGGAGATTCTCAGTGGAATTGATTGACAGTTGGCTACAGCAGTGGTGTAGGCACAGCAGAGACTGTGAGAATGAGGCAGACCAGGCAGTGTTTAATCCTGTTACACGTAAGGTTGTCATGAATTTGGAGCCAACTCTATGCTAGAAGTTGCAACAGCTATATGTTCTAAGTAAGGCTACAAAATAGTTGCTGCCACCATGCAACTGTGAAGGACACACAAATGCAAACCATGAAACTTCATTAAATGCCTTAAGGCTATACTAGGAACATAGATACCTAGGAGAGTGATTCTTTTTGAGCGAAGCGTGTTTCATAACTTAGTTTCATGATTCCAGTATGATAATTAAAAAGAGGGGATTTTTTTTAAAATTTTTATACTAAATGATTTTTTTATTTACCATATTTGAATACTTCTGTCATCAGGGGTTTTGGGGGGGTTTTATTATTACTGTTTTGTGTGTGAGTGTGTACCGTCGAATCAGATCTGATTGGTACAGGAAGAGTTTGCTCCTCTTTCTCCAGTGGAGCATCTGGTGGATTTAAACTAAAAGCCTTTGGGATTGCAGCACAGCTTCTTGCCAGTAGGCCACCAGAGCTCCTGTCATGAGTTCTTTTTTTTCCTTTTTTTAAAATTAATTTTAATAAACATTTACAGAGATTTTGGATTTCCATTCATTCATTGCCTGCCATGAGTTCTTAAAAGTGAAATGTTTTATTACTTAGGCTGCTTTGTTGTAACTGAAAAATTACTGTTTGAACATTGAATTTTTACCTTTGTAGTGAGTATATTGTTGGGTTATTTTGTGTGGGGTTGTTTTTTTTTAAGTATATTTTTGCAATGGTGGAAAACAAAAGACTAATAATAATTCAGACTTTTCAAGTTTATCTGTGCCATTCAACTTATTTTGGTTTAACAGGAGAAAGAACTTTCTCAAAGCTTGAGTTGTTCCATACAAGAGACTTACATTCCCTGTTACTTAGGAGAAAATTCCCCTAATTTTATAAAATCAATATTTGAAGAATTTTTTTTCTTGAGCTCAACATTCCACTGAAGGCTATCATAGAGGGTTGTGGGAGATAAAAAGAATTTCTTTTTCTGTGTATTTCTTTTGCCATAGGACATACTTGCTTTTCATCAATTTCCACCTCTTAGGATATTGTGAAAAAAGGCCCTGGTGGCATAGTGAGTTACATGTTGAGCTGCTAACCAGAAGGTCAGGGGTTCGATTCCACTGAATTGCTCTGGGGGGGGGGATAGATGAGACAGTTTACTCCTCTTAAGACTTAATGTTTGGAAACCTAATGGGGGGTGTCATCATAACTCGGAATCAGCTCAGAGTTAGTGAGTTTGGATTTTTGCTTTAGGATATTATGGGGAAGATTATTTTATTATTCACTGGTCACTTCCATTCTTTTCAGTTTTGCAATTCTGTGATATGTTCTGATTAAATATAGGCCTGAATAATATTGAATTTGTATTGTCAAAATAATGCCAGATTAGCTGTTTAGGCAGTGGCATAAAATTCCAGCCATTTTGATGGAAAAGTAAAAAGAAATAAGACCTTTTCTGCTAATAATCGGTCATGTAGCCGAACACAGCACACATGGAAGTGTGTGTTCGTTCAGCTATCTGTTGAGGAGTGCAGTAGGTGATATAGAAGAGAAGAGAGGGATAATTTACTTTTAAATATATGCATGTGTGTTTATATCGGGTTTTTTTAAATGTTTGTTTTAAGGTACTCATCAAATGTTTAGAAGATCGAGGCTTTTTCATTCTACTTACATCATCAGCTTTAATATCAGATACAGGTAAGGAAAGCTTATTGGAAAAACTTTTCAGTTTGTTTACTTTTGTTTTATTAGATACAACCTTGACCTGTCCTCTGATTCCTTTTCTGTTTAGGTTTTGACGATGGACAGTTGAGTCTACATGGGTTGCATTTATCCCATTCATCCCTGACAATAGGTAAAGATTGAATTACTCATAATTCACCAAATCTGCTGGATATTTTTCAGTCCTCATTTTGCTCCATCCTTTACATATGACACTGTTAAGTTTCCTTCTTTTTAAGTTATTTCTTCCTTTAAACTTTCTGGTTGATCTTGCTTTTACCTCCTTTATAACCTTACCGTATCCTCTGAATTTAGACTCATATATCCAACTGTCTACTGATAGTATCCTTTAGATGTTTCAGCTGTTTCAGATTCAACATGTCCAAAACCAAATTCATGATCTTCCCCCAGAACAATGGCCTATTACTTTATTTTCCTTTATCAGTATGTGGGAGCTCTGGTGGCCTAGTAGCAATAAGCTGCACTGGAGGCCACCAGCTGCTGTATGGGAGAAGGATGGGCAGTCTTCTCCCATGAGTGAGAATAAGTGCCTCTAAAAACCTGCCAGAGGGTCAGTATGGCTAGGTTTCTACTCTACAGTACACAACAAGAACACCTATCACTATGAGCACAATCTAAGCCAGAAACCTAGGCTATATTCATATTATCTTACTCTTATTCCCTATATCCAGTCCATTACTCACCAAATCAAACTGGATTCATTTATATCAAGCTGATGCCAACTAGCAGCAGTCCTGTCGGATGACGAAAATTGCCCTATTGAGTTTCCAAGGAGATTATAAATCTTAATTGGAGCTGATGGCCACGTCTTTCTCCTGTATTGAAGACTCATGGGTTCAAACTTCCCACCATTAGATTAACAGGACAGTATTTGGCGCGCTGTGCTAGTATATAACTTTGTAAATATTTTTTAATCCTTCCACATCTACCCATAGCCATTCTTACCATCCTAGACCAAGCTATGGTTAATTGCTTACTGCTATTTGAGAACCACTTAAAAATCCTCCGCTGTGATCTTGGTGTTTCATTTTTTCCTTATCCAGTCTTCTTTTTTGATACTGGTGGCCTAGTGGTAAGGAGTTGTGCTGCCAGCCTGAACAAGCATATGGGTTGAATCCACCAGCCACTTTGTAGGAAAAAAAGATCAACATTAAGCTGCCCTGTGATTTATAGGCTCTGCAAACCCTCTGGAGGGTTCATACTTGTTGGCATATAACAACAACAACAACAACAACAACATCATCGACTGTGTTGTCTCTCCATTAATAAACCTTTAGTAACTTAACATCTTTCTTGGTTAAATTCCTAATTCTATCTAGTTCGCCAGCCTTGTATCCAGTTACTATTACGTTATTAAGCAGCTGTACTGGCCATCATTTATTTAGTTCTTTGACAAAACAAGGCTTGTTTGACAAGCTCCTAAGAGTTACACACATTTTGTTCCCTTTGCTTGAAACAAACATAATTGCAATTAACAGTATCAGAAAAATCTCTTCTTGAACAAATACTTTGTTTCACACTACACTAAAGTCTTACTTTAGCATCTTTTAAGCCCCTGTACTTTTTCTTTTTGATGGTTATATTTATGTCAAACATAGACTTTTTTTTAATAGGGAAGAATCCTCTCTACACATAGAATTATGTATCCCAGAATGGTTTTATGAGTACCACACCATTATAGTAACCCAAACTAAACCCATGGCTTTTGAATTTGTTCTGACTGATAGTGACTCTGTGGGGCATGTTAGACTTGCTAGGGCTTCTAATGTTGTAAATCTTTACAGGAGCAGATTGTCAAATCTTTCTCTCACAGAATAGCTGGTGGATTCAATGAGGATCTTTTCATTAACAGAGCCCAGTGCTTTAACCACTGTATTTATAGGATTTATACTATAAATATAATAGTATCATAATGAAACCATTTTCAAATTATAGCTGTTAGTTCATTAACATTCATTTTATTCAGTATTGTTTTTGCTAGTATGGGTATAATTGTACTTTTTTATTAGCTATATGCATTTAAGGAGTAGATTATGACAGAAGCGTTGTTTTTCACAGCTGTTGTTACTAAAGAATACTAACTAATAATAGTTTACCAAATAAACCTGGCTTAAGACCTTCATAGATTTTTCTACCTTGACTTTTTTCATTAATTTCTTACTTTTTAAAAATAATAAAATGCAAAGAAAGTTTTAATCTTAATATGCAGTCAAGATTTTCTGTTCTTCTTAATCACTTTTCTCAGAACTTGCTGTAGCACTAATATATTCAACTAGTATCAACTTTGTGTTTCTTATTTGCTTAGTTCTACTTTATCTTTGAAAAGAAAGTTTATATCCATATTTCTTGTTATTCGGCACTGAGAGTCTTTGCTGTTAGGTTTTATTACTACTGTTTTATTATATTGTTCACAGGTTTTTGACTTTTAAAACGGTTTTCTTTCCAATTGATTAGTTAATGATTCACTGAAAATTTACCACTTCAAAGAGTAAGCCAGCAAAAAGAGATGAAGCAAAGACAGTTATTTTACTTAATATTTAAAAATTTCTGTCTCATTTGCTAGGAAAGATAATGCAGTTAATAAAATTTAGGAGATTATTTACAAGTTTTTCTTTATTCCATTTAGTTGTATTCCATGTAAGTTTTTTAAAAGAATTTGAAGTTAATTATATACAGATAAAAGTAATACATATTTTAAAAGCTGAAAATTCAAAAGTAAATCTTCTGATCACTATGAGTTGGAATTATTTCAACAGCAGCGTTTGGAAAGGCTGGTGCTGTTGATGTGGCAGATATTAACTCTGAGATCCTTATCAGATAACAAAGAACTGGAAACATAATTTCACTTATTCTTTCCAATGTAATGACTGTATATGTTTTTTTCTTTTTAATTCATTTTTGTATGTGTACCATCAAACGGATCTGACTGGTACAGGAGGAGATTTTCCCTCCTTCTCCAGCAGAGCACCTGGTGGATTTGAACCACGCACCTCTGGGATTGTAGTGTAGCTTCTTGCCCCTAGGCCACCAGAGCTCGCTGAATTATCCTTTTTTTCCAATTCTCTATTTTTCTCCAGGAGCTCTGGTGGCCTAGTGATAAGGAGCTGTGCTGCATTCCCAAAAGGCATATGATTTGAATCCACCAGCTCCTCTGTGGGAGATAGATAGTCTCCTCCTGTGTAATTTACATTCTCTGAAAACCTATTGGAGAGTCAGCTATAAATCAGTTTGGACTTGACAGCACACACCACCACCAAATAGCTTTCTCTCTTTCTTGCTTTGTGTATGCATGCCCATGTGCACACGCAGTAGTGTGATTTTTAAATAGATGAATGTGTATTATTTTGTATCTGTGGATATATACATTCATTTCTTAAAAGTGCCCGTAAGTCTTCTATTTAGACTGTAATTTGAAAGTATTGTAGGATATTGAAAGATCCCATAATTTCAAAATCCGAAGCATTTTTTAATGCATATTGTAAAAACAAACTAAAATTTCAAGTCTTTAATATATGTCTGTATATTTTAGGGATGAAAGATTTGAATATTGAAGATAGCATCTCATTGAAGGTGATACCTATTTTACCTGCTCTTAATTGTGCTTTGTTAGAAGCAAAGAAATCATTTACTGAAGAAGGAATCCGTCCAAACACATTAGTAAAGCATAATTTCCAAGCATTGTACAAAGCGGACAAAAGTCCTTCACTGACTGCTGCTTCTCAGGATGAAATTAAAGAGACTACATTCTTTGACAAGTTATCCAATGGTTTTGACTTGGTTCCTCCAGCTGAAAAGTGCCCTTTACAATCTTTGACTAAGTTAAGATCTTATTTTTCAGATCCCGATGGTTATATTTTGGAAGTATGCACTGCTTTAGATTTATTAGCAGAGCCTCCTCAGTCTCCTTATTTTTCGGATGGAATTTGTGATGCTGGATTTTCTTTAGTTATGACTCCAGATCCTGAATTTCTTGACTCAGAGGCAGAAGTACGAAAAGAAACTGAAACAGAAAAGACTTCAGAAGACATTTTTCAAACCAGGAAAGGAAGTATGGTCCTATTAAGTCCAGTAGCAAATCTGAGAGTTCAGCCAAAGAGGAAGGCAAGTGCACCACTCACGATACAAAGTAAAAAGGTGAATTTGTGTCGTCCTTTTACCAAAAGAGCTGCTACTGGAACAAGCAATGGCTCGGACTCAGCAACAACTCTTAAGTTAGCTAAAGGACAATTTCCTCAGAAGAGAAAAAGAGGTAAGCACAACTTACGTGGATATGAAATTAGCACACAAAAGTAATTGTGTAATGAGACTTTTTCTGTTTTGGTCATTGTTACTCAAAAGTGTGGGTTATGGCTTGACAGTAACGATTGGAAGCTTGTTAGAAATGCCAGCATTTCCCTCCATGTGATTAGTCTGCATGCTAAAGTTTGAGAAACACTGATCTAGATAATGGATAAAAGCCAAAAAGTAGGAAAAACTACCTAGTTCCTCAAAATCTCATCAAACAAAAACTTACATTTACTAGTAAAACTACTCAAATATTCACTCAGTTATTATGTATATAAACATGTTCATATGAAGTCATTCTTTGACATGGAAGAGTCATCAGGAGCAAAAATTGGTACCTGGTAAATAATTTATCACTCACACACACACACACACACACACACACACACACACACACACACCCCAGTCCCCAAAGTCCTGGAGCTCACAAATCTAATGGGCCCTGGGGCAGAGTTTCTAATCCTCTGTGTGGAATAGCATAGTTTTTAAAACTGGATCTTAACCACAGTGTCCAGTGGCCTGGAAATACATGTATTGAAAAGTTACACTAGTTCCTAGAAAGTGAGAATTAAACTATTCAGAGCCATTTATTGTGTATTAAATACACAGCAAAGCAAACAACTTGAATTTGCCGTAAGGGAGTCATCTCAAATTATGTTTAGTACATTTTAAGAGATAGAAAACAGTATTCTGTACTTGACAGAAAGGGACAGCCAACTATAGCTGTAGGACCACCCATTTGTTTACATAATGTCAGTGGATACCTTCAGCCTTCATTGTCCTTATTGAATAATTATGACAGAGACTAGATAGCCTTCAGAGCAGAAAATATTTAGTATCTGGCTCTTCACAGAAAAGTTTGTCAACTTCTGTTTTCTAAAGAGTCATCTATAATGTTTTGAATTAAGAATTTGATGCCTTAAGAGGAAACATCTAGAATGTGTAGATTCTTAGAATTCTAGATACTTGAAATTTTACTCCTAGTTTGTACATATGTTACAAACTTTCTCCGCTAGGTCTTGTCTAGTCTTGTATTCTTTTAATTTGGTATTAACTTTATGTAAAAAAATGTAACTGGAGTGGCATGAGGAATCTTATCTTTTAATACAAACAATATGATGCTTGAAAAGGAATAAAATGTGTTAAGTTTTATTCCTGTAATAGTTTTTTGTTGTTGTGTGTCATTAAGTTGGAATTGATGCATCGATTTAGAGACAGTAGATTGCACAGGAGAAGGTTGCCCATTTTTCTTGTGCAGAGCATTTGATGGAATCAAACTACATACCTTAGTTTAATGGGGAGGAAAATCACTATGCCCAGGGAAATATGTAACCTTAAAGATTGTTAAATTTTGGAGGAGGAAACATTGCTTTCTTTGAATCTTTAAAGGACTCTGCCTACCCAGTTGTGGGGTTTTTTTTTTTCCACTACAGTGAATATTATTAATGTTTTCAATTAAAAAGTGTTTTCTGAGTAATGTAACTTAAAATTACAAACATTCATATGTGATTTTTGCATATGCCATCATCTTATTGTGGTGATTGTGTGCATGTTATGCTATCTTAAACACTAAAACTTTTCTAAGATAACAGCCAAATTTATGAAAGGCAATGGAAAAATATTTTCCAAGAATTTTTATTGGCATTTTCGAAAACATTCTATCATGTATCAAGTATTTTGAAGTAAGACTCAAGAACTATTGTGCAGATGATCCAACTTTGCTTGCTGAAATATAGGAGCACTTGAAGCACTTGCTGCATAACGTGAAAGACTATAATCTTTAAATGGATTACATCTCAACATAAAAAAAAACCCAAAACCAAAAACCTTCACCACTGGGTGGTGGTGAAGATGGAGTTGTCAGCAATCTTCCTTGAATCCACAGTTAACATGTTTGGTACTGTTAAGTCAAGAAATCTAAAGATGTTTTTCATTGAGAAAATCTGCTATAAAGGACCTTGCCCAGGTAGGAAGGAGCAATGTTGTCAGTAAAAGACCGATTAAAGCCATGATGTTTTCATTCACTTTCTGTATACATCTGAGTGCAGGACAGTGAAGAAGAATGACCAAAGAATAATTGCTTTTAATTTGTGGTATTGGAGAAGAGGATGAAATATCCCCATGAATGGCAAAAAAGAAGAAACAGGTAAGTCTTGAAGGAAGTTCAGCCAAGAAGCTTTCTAGAGCCTGGGATGGCAAAGCTTCCTCTCACGTGTTTGGACATGTTTTTAGAAGAGGCTATTCCTTTGGAAGGGACATTATGCTTGGAAAGTTCAGTGGTCAGCAAAGGAGAGGAAGACCCTAAACAAGATGGATTGACACAGTAATTGCAGCAATGAGTTCATGTATGCTAGAGATGGCTAGGGTGGTACAGGATCTGACAAGTTTCAGACATATTGTTCACTATGAGTCATACTCAAGGAAGGCACCTAACAGCAACAATTTTACTTTTAATTGTTACTTCCTCTTGAGTAGAGACAGAGTAATTTCTGAAGGAATGAGCAGTTACAGGAGAGTTTTCCAAAATGAACCCAAGTGAAGCTTTTTGTCAGTGTAATTTCCTCTGTCTTTTCTTAAAAGATAATTTTCCTAATGACTTTTAGACTTAGAGGCTTAAAAGTTGTTGTTGTTAAGTGCCATATCAGTTATGGCAACCATAAGAAAAGCCACCCTGAACCCTGCCCTATCTTGGGCCATCCTTATCTCTAACACTAAAGCCCATTACTCAAGTCACCATGTCAGTTCATCTCCCTGTGGGGGGGAGGTGTCTCCCTCTCCTTTGCTGACTTTCCATCTTCCCACTCATGATGTCCCTTTCCAAGGAAGACCCTTTCCAGCTACATGTCCAAAGTATCCTGAAGAACAGTGATGTCAGTTTGAAGACATAGGTGCACCTATTTCAAGCCATGGTTTCTCAGTCACCTTCTACACGAAAAGTGGACAGTGAATAAGGATGACAAAAAGAGACTTGATGCCTTTAAATTGTGGTGCTGGAGAAGAGCACTGAATATCCCATGGACTGCCAAAAGAACAAACATATAGGTCTTGGACAAAGTGTAACCAAGAGTGCCCCTTTGAAGCAAAGTTGACGAAGTTTCCTCTCTCATATTTTTAACGTCTATAAGAGTTGTTGTTATTATATGTCATTAACTGCTTGTAGTGATCCTGTAACAGGTCTGAATCCTGCTCTATCTTGAGTCAACCTTAATGTCTCTGACACACCTTCCTCCATTATCCCAGTCATTGAGTCAATCCTCTTGGAGGTATTCAAGTAAAATATAAAACAGTGTTTCCTCTTTTCTACCGGTTGTTTAGTTGTTAATGTTACTTTTGGGGAGATGGGTTGCTTTTGTATTAAATTTCTCAGTGTTGAGAGCTAGCATGTTCAGACTTAACTGCCATATCAGTCAGTAAAGATTATGAAGATTCTTTAAAACAAGGTTGTGACTTGTTTTATAAAGAAATAACTCTAAATGTTTTAACTGTAATTTTTAAAAGAAATAATTTTTAACTCTTTGTTAAAAAATGAACAAACCCCCTCTTTTTTCAAATATTCGGTGCTTTATGCTTTATTCTCCATCCTTAAAATTGTTCCCTCCAAAAAAAAGAAAAGGGGAAAATATGCTGATCTGTATTTGAGCCCCTACTCCTAAAATAATGTCTTTTCTACACAAGGTGCTGAAGTACTGACTGCACAGTTCATACAGACAGCCAAATTGGATCCGAAAAATCAAGACACTCCTATTTCTAAAGATGTTTTAGCAAGTGCTAAAAGGACACGGAAACAAGAGAAATCTCCAGTAAGCACTGTTTTAAAGGTTAAACAACCTGTGACAAAATCACCACCAAAACAGAGAGTATATATAATAAAAGGCCATCCGAATCCCAGAGTCAAAAAACAACCACAACCTGGTAAGACAGAATTATTTTTGTAAACTTAAATGTGATATAAATTTAGCAGAGACAGTAAGATAGCATACTGAAATAATACAGACAGTTAAGAGATATGTATTTCAGTAATTCTCAATTCTGTCATTCAAGCACTGGAATAAGTCACATAGTTTCCTACTGTAAATAAATTAGGAAGACAGTCAACTCAAAACTCATTATGCATAAAGCCTGAACAGAAATTGCATTTTCTACAAGAATTGAAGTGTAAATTACTTCAGACAGTTACTGCTAAATGTACAAAGAAGTTGTTTCTGGACCATAATCAGTGATAAAAGTAGAGAATTAACACCGTGCTAATCTTCTCTGTATTGTATATGTACTGCTGAAATGAGTACCGATTATTGAAATTTTTTATACTGAGTTGGGTCTCAAATATTTGTTGACTAAATTAATTGATAAAGTGTTCAACTGCATAGTTGACTGAAAAGTGAACCTAGCAAATGAAAAGTTTTCAAAATATAAATAAATATGCTGAGTATTCTAAATGTCTGTATATTGTACAATCACAATCTGAGAATAATTTTAAAATTACTTCCTTTTAAGTCTTGCAATTTTTCCTCATTTTTTTTAAACCATCAGTACAAACCCAGTTTATTTCTTATACTTGAAATACCAGAAGGCTGAGTGAATTAACCACAGTGGCCTCAGTTTTCAAGGTACAAATTTAAAGTATTTTGAATTAAATGAGAATTTTTATGTCAGCCATGTTACTGAAACAAAATAGCTTCATTTTTAATACTGTGTTAACTCAAGTTTTTAAAAGTGGAATTTGTTTCACACAAACTTACCAGTATCTTATAAATAGAGGTGGAGTATTGGTGTTATAGTTTTAATTGACAGAAATTAACAAGTTGGTAATTAAATAATTGAGCTGAAACAACACATATTTATTAAGCTAGACCAAGAATAGTAATTTTCTTTGATTTCAACACAGTATTCTTTATGTAAGCTATACTTGTATTTGATAGTCTATAGAGAAATAGATATGAAAGCTGTAATATTAACAAATGTTGAATAAAATTAGTGTCAGTAATTGAGTCATAGTGTGCGTTTCATATTTTCAGTCCACTAATGAGGCTAGGAAGGAGGGATCTTTGCTTTGGGCACTTTTCTACTTAGTCTGGTTGGATTTATTTTAATTAAAAAATTAATTTAAGTTTATCTTTTGCTTTTCAAAGAGAGGCGTGAACTGGGGGAGGGGGTAAAGAAAAAAGTGCAACAATGAATGAATGAAAATCCAAAATCTCTGTAAATGTTCATTAAAATTAATAAAATAAAATTTAAAAAATTAAGATAATTGATCATTTTCACTTTATCTCACATTCAAACATCTTTTTAATTCAATTTAGTGGCGTAATAGGTTAGAATTTTCTTACCTTTAAGTGCATTAATCACTGGCCTCTGCAGACAAGTTAATTCATTTCAGACCTTTTGTTATCAGTTATATAGATCTCTGGTAACACAGTGGATAATGTATTAGTCTGGTAACTGAAAGAGTGGAAGTTGAACTCTACCAGTAACTCCACAGGAGAAAGATGGGCAGGCTCCTCTCATAAATACTTAACAGCCTCAGAAACCTGATGGCGGTTGCTGATAGTTGAAATTGATTCCAACAATACTAGTTTCTTTTTCTTTGATTTTTATTTTTACACTGTCAGTTATAGAAAGAATTAGTTGACTTTCCTGTTCATATACCTGCCCTCATCAGGGATTCATTGCCAAGTATGGTTGTGGACATTATTATCCTTAATAGTTTTAAGGCATAATTAATAATATCTGAGCATACTTAAGTAAATTAGATGATAATGTAACCATTTTTTTTTTACTAAAGATAATTAGGTATATTTTACTATCATTAGGAAGGAAAATTATCAGTTGTTATGATTTGCTCTCTTATGAAACAGAGGGGATATGTTTCCATTGCTGAAATGAAGTTGTAAAAGGTGATGATGTTAATTAGTGGCTCTAGATACTCAGTGACTTAGGCGTTTTTATACTTATCATTACAGTTAAAGGTCAACATAGATACAAGTCATTGTTTCTTTGAGTTTATGTAGTTTATAATAAATGACTTGAAATGATTTATAATGAAATAGGCTGTTGTTTACTGTAGTTAAAAGCGACCCATAGCAGACCTTCTGACAGGTTTTCAGAAGCAGTTAGTTGTAGGGGAGGTGATGGCCCATCTTTGTCCTGTGGAGTGCCTGGTGGCCCCGAACTGCGTGCTTTCGAGATTGCAGTGCAGGTTCTGCCACTAGACCATGTAGACTTAACATGTAAATTCCTAGATTTTTAAATTCACTCTATTATGAGCCGAGGACAAAATTCTAGATTTTTTTTGTTGTTTTGTTTCTGTTTTCTCTCACCTTTGTTTGATTTTAGCTTAGCAGTATGTTTCATATGTACTTCTTGATATGCATTTTAAAAGCCAGTTTCTTTTTAAAATTAGCACAAATGTGCATTATTGATCCTTGGATCAATAAAATGTAATAGAACAGAAAACTGGCTGAGACCTCAGTATGATGATAAAACTTTAAATATACAACCTGTGTAATCAGCAGGAGATATTTCTTGAATATAGTCACCTAAGTATCAATTCTTACTAAAGCATAATAGTAGGACAGTTATTGCTTTGTAAATCAAGTGTTATATCTTTGCTTTTTTGTTTACCTTCTCTATATTCAAAGGAGAAACTGCCTCAAAGCTTCAATCAGGAGTTTCACCAGAAGGTAAAGAAGATCTTGTTAGCATAAATACAGCACAACAAGAAAATGACACCATGGTTCAGAAAGATCTTCCTAAGAACTCTGTTGTCAGCTGTGACTCCCAAGCCCTAAATATGTTAGCTGATCTGGCTTTAAGCTCTGCTCCCTCTTCCACACCATCATCATCTGAGCCTAAAAACCTTTCCTGCTCCTCTGAATTGCCACAAATTGATGTCATGTTTGCGAAAGAAAATTCTCTGCGAGGTACATTTGACCATGAATATCACAGAGGAGTTAAAAGTAAAAAAGGTGGATTATTACCTAAACCCTCTACTGAAAAGAAGACCAATTCAGTATCAGATGTAACTGTTAACCAAGATGCAGAGAATTTGATTCCTTGTAGGGAACAAGTCCCTGCTAAAACCCAGTCAGCACTTCCTGAGGAAACACAAGAAACATCAGATGCAAGCCAAAGCGCTTGTGTAGTTGTGGAGCATTCATATGCCCTACTCCTTGCAGAACATTCATTGAAACAGATACAGCAGAGAGGAATACAAGGCTCTACCTTTGCCAAAAATGGAACTAAAGGTCCTGAAGCAGGAACCCCAGTGGGAAAAGTAATGCCATTTCGACACCAGCAGAACACCTCCCCTCTGCAAAAGGTCATTGACCCATTGATAAAGCACAAGAATAGATTGATGTCTTCCAGCCTAAGAGACTTCCATTGCTCTCATACAGTGTTTAGCTGTGATGGTTCCTTTAAGGTCACTTTCAAAAGTGAAACAGAATATTCATTCAGCTTGGATAGCAAATATACAAACAACCCACTAGAGAAAACAGTGATACGAGCTTTACATGGGTAAGTATGAATGGCATTTGATAAAAACCAATGTAAGTTTTTAATTTATATAGTTGTAGAAGTGATACTTACACCAGACTTTAGGAGAAGAAAAGTTGTGTGTAAAACCAAGCAAATGTATTTACTGCCAATTAAAAGTAGGATACTAATTTTGCCACATGGATTGTATTTTGTTTTGGTGGGGTTTATTTTTAACATGGGGAACTTTTAAAAGATCACTTTATCTTAAGAATGATTTTCTTCTTTGAAATACTCTTTTGTAAACCTAGATGATGTCTGAATTTTAGTATTTAAGTGGTATTTTAATCTAAAATACATAGAACTAATGTTCTGCAGACTGAATTTCAGAGAAAATGTGTTAGGAATTATTGTTAACATAGGTTGGTCAGATTGATATGCATGTTGTTGATGGCTGTCGAGTTGAGCATGACTCATAGCGACCCTATGAACAAAAGACCTAAAGTCTTTCTATAACAATTGTTGTTTATCAAAGTTCATAGAGTTTCCAGAGGCATATTGTTTAGGAAGTGGATGACACTCCTGCTTCCAAACCTGTCTTGAACTTGGAGCTCCACCACACACTGTCCACCATGGGTAACTTATGCCATTTTATATCCCAATGGCACAAGGTTCAGCATCACAGCAACCCCAGGTTAGTTCAGTACAGCATATTGACAGAAGAGTTCTATACCACGTAAAAGTATGTTCCTCCAAAATATGAAAACAACTGACTTTTAAATACAAAGGCCCTCCGTGAGGTCTTGTTGACTCTAAACAACAGACTTAAATAAAAAACAACCAATATAGTATGTTGTTATTGTTATGTGCTGTTGAGTTGCCGACAACCCATAGAGACCCTTTGTACAGCAGCTCTGAAGCCTGCCTTGTCATGAACCAGTCTCACTAATTCCGACATACCAACCTCCATTTCCCCAGATAACATATCAGCCCATCTCATTTGGGGTCTTCCTCTCCTACACTGTCCCTCCGCCTTCTGAGCATGCTGTTTTTCTCCAGGCACTGTTCTCTTATGGCCAGGTGCCCAAAATATGTGAGATGGAGCTTCAGAATCCTAGCCTTGAAGGAGAGACTTGGTTTCACACTCTCTAAAACAGACCAATTTATTTTTGTGGTAGTCTGTCGTATGTTCAAGACTCTTCTCCATCACCACAACTCCAAGGCATCGATTCTTCTTCTGTCATCCTTTGTCACTGTCCAGCTCTCTGAAGCATAATAAATAAGTAATTGAAAAGACCATGGCCTGGATTAGGCACACCTTTGTATCTGACATCATTGTGTTTCTGCACTCTGGCCCTGACAGCAGATTTTCCCAAAGATGGAATATTCTATACATCTCCTTTTAAAGAGGATCAAGGCAGAGTAGTTGATAGCACAGAGTGTAGAATTTAAATTAACTTAGGTTTGAACATAGGCTTTTCTTTTGTGACCTTGGACTTGAAAAGCTAGGGCTCCCAAACATTATTGTGTATATGACTTGTCTCAGGTTCTCACTGTTTGCAGATTCCAACTCAAACCGTTGAGATGTAACTGAAAAGTCTAACATTTCTAGGTGATGTCAATGGAGGCTGATAGTCTGTAGATGATATTTTAAGTGTGTATTTAGTCATGGCTAAGTTTGAAGTCTCTGTCCTCTGGGATTTTTTGCACAATGACTAGTTATTGATAAATGGTAAGCATCACCCTTAGTAATAGAATCCCTTATTGGCACAGTTAAGCACTTGACTGCCAGTTAAAAGGTGGTGGTTGTCTATACCATCAAGTTCCAACAGAACCATAGCTGACCCTCCAGCAGGTTTTTGGAGGCAGTTATTTTTATGAGAGGAGATTGCCCATCTTTCTCCTGCAAAGCATCCAGTGGATTTGAACTGCCTTCCTTTGAGCTGGTAGTGCAACTCCTTACCATTAAGCTACCAGAGCTTGTTAATTAAAAGGTTAATGGCTTTAAATCCATGCAGATGTATCTCAGAAGACCAAAATGGCAGACTTCTGAGAAGTTACAACCTTGACAACCCTGTGGAGTATGGTTTACTCTGCCACATATTTGTTCACCATGAGTTGAATCAAGTCAATGACAATGAACAACAGCTCTTAGAAGGAGGATACCTATGTGAAATGACATTCACTTAACTGTTAGTTAAATTGATTCAGCATATATCTGAGTTATGCTCTTGTTCATGTTTACCCATATACTATTTATTTATACTCAGAAGGGTCACTTCCTTCCCTTTCACCCTGTTGAACTATAACCTAACTTGTTGCCTCTCTGAATTCATCCCATTTCAGCTGTGTATTGTGCTTTTGCTGGTCACATGCCCAGCAGTGTTTTGTTTCTCACCTTAATGGTTTCAGATTATTTTATAAAATTGTAATCTGGAGAACAACCACTTGGCCAACTGACTGGAAGAGATCTATATTTATTCCCATTCCAAAGAAAGGTGACCCAACTGAGAGTGGAAACTACAGAACAGTGTCATTGATTTCACATGCAAGCAAGATTCTACTGAAGATTATCCAAAAATGATTAGAACAGCACATCAGCAGAGAACTGCCAGAAGTCCCCTTCTAAGGGGTCGTGGTACTAGGGATATCGTTGCTGATGTTAGATGGATCTTAGCTGAAAGCAGAGAATACAAAAAGAATGTCTATCTGTGTTTCGTTGATTATGCAAAGGCATTTGACTGTGTGGATCATAACAAACTGTGGCTGACTCTGAGAAGAATGGGAATCCCAGAACATTTAATTGTGCTAATGTGAAACCTATACTTGGACCAAGAGGCAGTAGTCAGAACAGAGCAGGGTAACACTGCATGGTTCAAAATTGGGAAGGGTGTACGCCAGGGATGCATCCTGTCTCCATACCTTTTCAACATGTATGCAGAACAGATTATCCAAGAGGCTGGGCTCTGTGAGGAGAAGTGTTGCATCAGGATTGGTGGAGGATCTATTAACAATCTGCATTATGCAGATGATACAACCCTGCTTGCTGAAACTGAGGAGGACCTCATGCACTTGCTGAGAAGGGTCAAGGACTGCAGCCTTCAGTATGGATTGAGGCTCAATGTCAAGAAGACAAAGATTCTCACCACTGGACCAATTGGCAGCATCAGGATGGATGGCGAAGAGATTGAGATTGTTCACAGCTTCCGTTTGCTCGGCTCCACAGTCAACACTCTTGGCACCAGCAGTCAGGAAATCAAAAAGCGTATTTTGATGGGAAAGTCTGCTGTTAGGGACCTCTCTAAAGTACTCAGGAGCAACGGTGTCTCTCTGGAGACTAAGGTGCGCCTGATACAGGCCATGGTCTTTGCAATCGCTTGTTATACATCAGAGAGTTGGACAATGACTAGGGAAGACAGAAAGAGAGTTGATGCCTTTGAGCTGTGGTGCTGGAGAAGAGTACTGAATGTACCATGGACTGCCAGGAAAACAAACAGATTCATCTTGGAGAGGATTAAACCAAGCTACTCCTTGGAGGCAAGGATTCTGGGGCTTTGTCTGACATACTAGGACATGTTGCCAGGAGGGACGGGTCCTTGGAGAGGGACATCATGCTTGGGAGGGTGGAGGGACAGCGCAGGAGGGGAAGACCCTCTATGAGATGGAGTGATTTGCTGACTGGGGTAATCGGAATGGGTGTGTCAGAGGCAGTGCAGTTGGCGCAGGATAGAGCAGGGTTTAGAGCTGTTGTGCATAGGGTCGCTGTGAGTCGCAAACGACTCGGCGGTACATAACAACAACAAACAACAATCTGAAATAATATCTTCTTCCTTCTTTATTTCTATCAAGTGAGAACCAACTCCTAGTTGAACATTTTTTTCTGAGACTGCAAATTACATGTGAGGAGACTGCACGTCTTTCTCTTGTGATGGATTTGAACCAACCACCAGAGAGGCACAGCCTTTCAATCAGCGACCCAGCTACCTAAAAACTATACCATTTGGGCTCCCTGAAAATAGTAGTATTGTTATCAAGTACTATCAAGTAGAAATATCATAGCTGAGCCTCCAGTGGGTTTTCAGAGGCAATTAGTTGCATAGAAGGAGATTGCCCTTCTTTCTCCCATGTGACAGGTGGTGGCTTTGAATCAAGTGCCTTTGGGTTGTCAGTACAACTCCTTACCTCTAAGTCACCACAGCTTAAGAATTTCCAGCAAAGATTAGTCTTCAGATGTTACTGTTAGAAGAAAAACACACAAAATATGAAGAAATAAGAGCGAATGGATTTAGAAAAAGCGGGACAATTGGGATTTAGGTAGTTGCTAAAAAGAATTCATATTGGTGTGAGACTGAAGAAAATTATTAGAGTAAGAGTTAGGAGACCAATGACCTGATCATGTTTTTTGTAGTTTGGAGGAAGTCATATAAATGTTCTGATTTTCAGTTTCCTTTGTGTAAAATTAATGAATTACATTAGTATTTTGTTCAGTAATGTCATTTGAAGAGCTTATCCTTCTCTCTGAAAGAGAATATAAAAACCATATAGAGACAAATATCCTGTGTCTCCATAAAACTCTTCTGTTACCTGGTATCAGAGAAGACTTTGTAAACAAACAAAACAAAAAAACATATAGATAACTCTCCACTCTACTGCTTTTGAGTCAAGTCCAACTATGATTCTTAGGCTAAAAATATTTACAGGAGGATATTGCCAGGCTTCCTGTCTGTGAGCACCTAGTAGATTAAAATTGCTGCTTATTCTGTTAATAGCCCAGCATATCATGTACTACACCACCTCAGTAGATAGCTGTCTAAGAGAAAATAGCACATGGAAACACAGGGCCTTGAACATCTCTCTGAAAGGGCCAGAGGGAGTCAAAATAGCATAGCCCTTCACCACCCTAGAGCATAAAGCAGATAAAGAGCCCATAGCCCAGCCCCATGGTACCTCTAGAGCCACACAACAGCAATAGATTTGTTTATTTGTTGCTGACTCACAGACTCACAGTTTGACAGTAGAGGAGATAAAGAATGTCATCCAAAATAAGTCAAGCTTTTAGCACAAGTTCCAAGTGACAATGTGTCTATTAGTCTAGGCTCTGGTTTCAGGTTAGCAGTCAAATCCAAATGATCAGAAAGGTTTGTTTCCAAGCAGATAAGCATCCAGCAAGTTATAAGTCACCTTTTCCTTGAAGTATCTGGCAAGAACAGTAAACGTCCATAACTGTAGTCTGTATCTCAGGTCTCCTTTGCTTAACACCTTGCCATAGTTTCTCCACAGCAGTACCACAGTCTCTCTGACTCCATCACCATGGTCTCGCCAACTGGGTCTTTCTTGCTCCAGTCTTCCTAAAACCTTGCTGTCATGCGTCTTGCTTGCCTCAAGTCTTGCTGCCCTCTCTGTGAAAATACACTCTTTCTCTAGTCTCATACCTGTTCGTGATTGGCAAGACGTGTCTGCAGTTAAGGTAGCTGGAGATCAGAGGGGGCTAACTTTAATGGCTTTAAAAAGCCAACTTTTAGGCTAACACCACAATACCTCTCACTGTTTATTTGTTAACTCATCTTCATATGTATCATATTCATGCCAGTGCAATTTTAAAAACACAGAATTAAGGTTAAAAAACCATTTTGCTTATAATAAGATTGTGCATTGAGAAGATGATTTTCACTAATTCTTGTATTTTTTCAAATCACAGGCCCTGGAATACTGATCTGCCTGATAACATGGAAGAAGTAAAGCTTTTACTTCATATGTGGGTAGCTCTGTTTTACAGCAATCAGAACAAAATTATACAGTCATCTCGAAAAGTGGTAGAACACAGCAACCCAGCAAAATATGTATCTATAAATAGCACGATAGACTCTTTTGACTTAAGTGAAATTGAGGAGCCCTACAGTGTGGAAAGGTGTTCTACAGACTCTTTATTGGAGACAAAAGAAACTTCTGAGGATCAGGCTACTGAGTTGTCTTTCCCTGACACTAAAGCTCCTTTCATTAAACCACAACCTGCTAGAGGCTTGGAACTCTGTATACAGAATGAACAGAAAGACACTTTTACGAGAGAAGCTCATCAAGATAACTCAGAAAGTCTGAATTTCATCTATTCCTGCAGTAATGAGGTAAGAAAGACTGAATATTATAAATGCCTGTATTATTTTTGAAGACTTAAAAAGAAACATTTTAGTTTCTTTTCCAGCTGTAGTAAAAAACTGAAAAGTATCTAAAACCCTAGTTTTCACAGTCTCACTCCACTTGGCTAGACCTAGAGATTGTTGAACAAACTGAAGGCATGGGGCAGGGGGAACCCCCCCCCCATCATAGGAGTCACATGACCTAGGTGCCAACAATGATTTTCTCACTTATACAGTATGGAACAAATTATTGGTTCTCTAGGTGTTTCTTTCCTTACCTTTTAAAATTAGTGAATAACACACCAGCAATAATAGTTAAGTTCAGCAGGACAGTAAACAACAAATACAGGTGAGGATGTGGAGAAATTAGAATGCCTATACACTGCTGGTGGGAATATAAAATGGTAAAACCACTATGGAAGGCAGTTTAATGCTTCAGCTAAAGTTTGCAGTACATATATATCTTGACTGAGGTGTCCCACTATAAAGAATATATATCCTGGTGGCACAAACCAATATATGCATACCCATGTTTATTACAGCATTATTCATAATAAGGAAGAGATGGCAGCAACCCAAGTGCCCATTAACAAAAGAATGGATACAGCAGTGGTAGTAAATTCACACAATGGGATATTATGCAGCATTGGAAAACAATGAACTTGTGAAACACCACACAACAGACACAAAAGGACAAATACTGCTTATGAGTATGGTTTTAAAAATCAAATGAACATAGGGGAGAGGAAAGCAGGAAAAGAATGAACACAGCACTGGAATACGTGAAAGGAAGGACCATCTGTAAAGAATAGATGATTAGTCATTATACATATGATAATCTAGAACAAGACTCACATTGCAAAATGGATTGAGATGGAGGGGAAAATGTATATCAGTGAATTAATGAAAACCCAACCTTTCTGTAAACTTTCACTAAAATCACAATAAGTGAATAATACTTCTAGATTAATTTATAAAGATCGAATGTTATAATAAATATTCTAAATACTTTGCTGAACCTTGAAACTCATTGTCATCAACTTAGTTTTGACTCTGAATGAACCTTTAGGACAGAGCAGAATTGCCTCTTTAAGGCTTCCCAAGCTAAATGTTTACAGTAGTAGAAGGCTTATCTTTCTCCCATGGAGTGACTGCTTGATACAAACTGCAAACTTTAGCAACCCAATACTTGATCTACAACACCACTAAAGATCTCTGATAAGCCTTAAAGTAAACTCAAGGTGCTTATATTAAAGTTTCTTAAAGGAAAAAATTAGAGCAGTTAAAAAGTGACCTATAAAATAAGTTATTGCTGATAACTATTGTTAAACCATTAGTAGTTAAGCCATGTCAGATAATCCAATTTGTAAACCATATCAGATAATCAAGATTCAAACATGTATCAAAATTCTAAGGAAATGGATTGAGAAAGTACATACTTTTTAAAAACTTCTAGTTTTGTATGGATTTGAGCAGCAACAATGAATGTCTGTCTTAACATTGAGTAAATAGTGTTTCTATACCAAGGTTTTGTGGGTGATTTGTAGGTTCATTGGTGAACTTCACAGAACCTGGGAATTTTTTCAGATTAATGCTGTCATTATCATCAAAAGCAGCATTTAGTGTGTACTATGTGCCTGATAAAATTGTAAAACAAATTAATGTCTTGAGTTGCAATATTGAAGGATGCTATGGGGAAAATCTTGTATGATCCAGGAATCATCAAAACAAAATAGAATCTGCAGACTCACTATATTAAAAAGAACTGACTTTCATGGAACTGTTTTAGGAAGTAGTGTATAATGATAAACAAGTGATAATGAAGGGAGAAGGTCAAGTGTACTGAAGATATTAGCAGAAAATAAGACCCTAGCAATTGATGGAACACCGGTTGACATTTCTCAACAGATACAGCCCTAGATTTGCTGATCAGTCTGCTGAGAAATTTTGAAGATGGCTACCTGGCCAGTGTACTGAATATTTGTTTCCAGTCCCAAAAGAGGTGATCCAAGAGAATTTAGACATTATCAGATAGTATCACTAGTATCATACATAAGTAAAATCTTGCTGAAAATTATCTAAAAATTACTATGATAGATAGAAATTTGAGCTGGATTTAGAAGAAGCTACGACACCAGGGATATGATTGTTGATGTCAGATAGATCTTGGCGGATAGCAGAGAATATTAGAAAAACTTTTTTATTGACTGTGTAGATCACAACATGTTATTACTAATGTTGAGAAGCATGGGAATGTGAAACCTATACATAGACCAGCAAGCTATTTTCTGAATAGAACAAGGTTTTAATGTTCTGCATGGTTTAGAGTCAGCAAAAGTATGTATCAGGGTTGTGTCCTCTCTCCATACCTGTTCAGTCATGTGCTAATTACATAATTCAGAAGCTGGACTAAGTGAATAAGAATGCTTTTTCATGATTGGAGGAAGTGTTAACTACTTGGAATAGGCAGATAACACAATCTTGCATACAAAAAATGAAGCAGACTTCAAACAGTTCAGAAAATCAAAGACTACAGCCTTCAATATGAATTACATCTCAGCATCAAGAAAACAAAAATCCTCACCACTGGGACAATTGGTAACATGCGGAGAAAAGATGGGAGTTGTCAGCAGTTTCATCTTGCTTGAATCCACAGAAGTCAAAACTTGTAGTAACAGTAACTAAGAAGACAGAATACAGGTTGCATTAAGAAAGTCTGCTGTTAAAGGCCTAATCTTATAAAGTAATTAGTTTAAATAAAGACTGTAATGTGTACCTGGTTAAACCTGTTGTTTTGCTCTGCATCTGAAAATTGGACAGTTAGTAAGAATAACAGAAGAACATGTAATGCCTTTGAGTGGTAAGTGGGAGAGTGCGAAGTCTTTCATGAACTGCCAAAAGAACAGTCTTTGAGAGAGTGCAACCAAGTTTGCTCCTTGGAGAAAAGGATTGTAAAACTTCACCTCACATAATTTGGACATGTTGTTAGGAAGGGCGAGACCTTGGAAAAAGACATCAGGCACAGTAGCATAAGAATGGGCTCAAGTCTGTCAGACATGAGGATGGTGCAGGAATGGGCAGAGTTCAAGTTCATTGTTCATAGGGTTGCTGTGAGTCATAGCTGACTTGATGGCACCTAACAACAACTTATTTGTATTCATTCTTACAGGAATCATTTCAACAAAGTTACATAATAAATTTTTGAACCAAGATTTAAATGTAGATGGCCTAGTTGCTATAGCATTAAAGTCTGTCTGTTTGTATGTATTAATTAAGCTCATTGCTATTATGACTTTGATTTCATACCACCTGAATTTAAGAATCATCTCAGGAACAGGTTTGAGGCCTTGAACACTAACGAGCGAAGACCAGATGAGTTGTGGGAGGATGTCAAAGATATCATTCAGGAAGAGTGTAAACGGTCATTACAAAGACAGAAGAGG